TCCTCGCATACAACGGATTGGAAGCTTAACATCACAATTGTACCAATATTTTAGACATTTAAAAAAAAAATTGTTTTACTTTGATGGTTTTGTATTTGTCTTGCGAATTACAAAGATAATTATATGGTCCATGACATTTTAATATATATGTTATTATGCATACTATTACTCATCAAATTGAACGAGCTATAATGAACTGTGTTTGCTCTTTTCTCTTGGCATTTGGCAATTTATTTTCCCTAACTGGTCGCATTACAGACGAAGAGTTTATTCTCACGACAATGATGTTAAATTTTGTTAAACACAAAGTTTCAAAGATGATTTCCATATTCCAACCGGATTTTTCTTCATAACTAATCTCTTAATTTATTACTATGATTTTTCATTAAGTTAATAAAATATAAAATAGTAATAATTTAGATGGAAACAAATTTTATAAATGAAAATCCGCGGTAGGTAGCTTGTGATTGTAAGTAGTCTAAACCGTTGTATATATTGGTTATATAATATCAATTATATAAAGTTTGTAATTGTATCTACGCCAGATTTTTTTTGTTTTTACTGTACATCTACTTTTTTTAAGATGTTAGTGAATCACGATATTCATAGTGAATTTATTGTTGCTAGAAAAAAAAATCCAATGCTTAAGTGGTCATTGCATATATTATCTTAATCCTTGCATGTTAGCATGAACTGCATTTGAGAAGCAAATAATGCTTTTGAGTACATAATTTATCTTAGATACATTTATAATAATTTGTAAAACGTGCTTAATCCTTTAGTAAATCTATTAGTTAATTAGAAAAAAAAAAAGAAATGTGAAGGAACCTTGAGAATATGGATAAGGCCACAAGGAGAAAAGTAGTAGCAACAAAGATCCAAACCAAAAGAGTCTTGACACTAATAATTGCGAGTGTGGGATATTTTAGTCTTCTTTTTCCTTCCAACTTTTGTATCTGTAAAGAAAAGTTTGGCACTATACAATAATGAACTATTGAAAAATATAGGGACATCTTTCAAACGACAAAAGACAGATCCATAAAAAAATTCACATAAATAAAAGGAAAACGCTAGCTAATTTGTTCACTATTGTTTAAATTAAACGCTAGTCAACCAACATGTCAGAATCATCCACGTCATCATTTCCAATTTACTATAAAACATTCCCGCCAATTGCAAAATCACAAACAATCAAAACGATGAAATTCAACAACTCCACTC